TTTTCACTTCTTTCTACGTCTTTTTCCATTATGTATCACTGTAGTCATTTTTTTGCAGGTTCTGTAAACTCCCTTGTTGTTTGCATCATTCTTATTTGTCTGGAAAAACTCTACCATGATTGAACATGACTTCTTCCTCTGTGTTAAGTCTGCATGTGAATATTGCGGGAGAAAATCACATAGGCTGATTTCATTTTAAATTCATCATCACAGGCCTCACATGGGCACTTATATCTGCCCCGGAACTTACTGTGCTTCTCTAATACAGCTATAAGATGCGCTGTCACCACAGCCTGGAAATTGATTACATCTTCCTGAATCCAAATCTGCAAACCTAATTTGCATCCATAATTTTGTCCTTATAGAAGAGGAGGTACTCCTTTTCTTGACATTGAATTCTTCTGAGCTCTGGATTCTATTTATTTCCTCTACATAAGAGCTTTGCTCCTTCAGTTATGCCTTCTTTTTCTTGTTTTGTCAGCTTAACTTCTCCCCTAGATGGTTCTCACCACACATAAATATGTTCAAGTATCTCTCATCCTAAAAGGCATGCCTCCCCAGTCCTTATTTCTGCCTACCCAAACCCCGGTCTTTTTATCATTCCCATCTCTCTGCTCTCCTTTGAAGGCAAACTTCTCAAGGGAAAAATAATGGTAGGAGTGTGCATGAGTGTGTGTGTGTGTGTGTGTGTGTGCGCGCGCGTGTGTGTGTGTATGTCTGTGCAATTCTCCAATCAGCACTCTTTCTGTGATGTGGAAAATGCTTTGTATCTTCACTGTTCAGTAGCCACTAGCCATGTGTGGATAATGAAAACTTGAAATACAGCTAATATAAAGAGCTGAAGTTTTAATTTTGTATTACATATCAATAACCACATGTGGCTAATGACTACAGCATTAGTACAACTTCAGTAAAAGAACCTGGACTCCTTTTTAGCAGTAGCTTATTTTAGGATTTGGGCAGGAAAAATACGATCCTGGAGTATCGTGTGGGCTCAAGTAAGAAAGTGCTCAAAAATAATAGGGATATGTAAAAAGGACATTGAAGCCAACATAAAGGGACTTCAAATGACCAAATCTGGAAAAATTTGAGTTTCAGAATAAATAATAATAGTGGGTTAAAACTTATAGAACAAATATTCACATGCCAATACTGATACAAACAAACAATACTTGGTAGGGAGAAAGGACTGCTTTTTCCTAAAGTAGAATTCTAATTAATGAATGTAGGAGGAATGATGGAAATGAAAATCAGCATTGGCAAAATCACTATAATAAGTGGGTGAGAGCACAATTCAACAAATCATCTGTGGATGCTAAGTAAGTGAGCATAAGTATGATGACAAACAGCATTTTTACATAGTCTCAGATAATCTTCCCACAAGATATCTGATATATGCCAACTTAATTGAGTGATCAAAGTTAATATCAACAGTAATGAGACATCCAGTACCTCCCGATAGGATGCATTGAGGAGGACACTAAGATACATAACCTCAACCTAATCATGAGTAAACATCATACAAACTCAGATTAAGGAGTACACTGCAAAATAACTGGCCAGTACTGGCAAGATCATGGAGCAAAGAAGGAAAACTTAATGAAATGTCTCAGGATGGAGAGGAATAAGAAGACATGACAACTGAATGCAGTATGGGATCCCATATTGTGTCCTAGATCAAAAAAGGTCATTGATGAAATTTAAGTAAGGGCTACAGATTTCAGTAATTCTGCTATGGTAATACAAAACGTTAACATTGGTTGATGAGTATACCAAAACTCTATTTTAACAGCTTTTTTTAAATACCTGAAATTATTTCAAAATAGCAGGGGTTTTTTTAGTTGCCTATACCTTGTGCATTCAACCCAGGTCTGTTTTCTGAGTTTCAAATTAATATGTCTATTTTAATGTATCCCATTGCAAACTTAACACATTTAAAATTGAAGTATTGATTCTCATTTGATTCTCATGTCTATCCAACTTCTCCCCCAAAGTCTTAGCAAATGTTTAATTCCACTCAGTGTGTTTTTCATTTCTAGACTTTTCCATTTTTATTGTCTTCTATGTCGGTATGGAACATACGGACTTTTAAATGTCTTTGACTACTAATTCTATCTTTTTGGTAATTTCTGATTCTGCTTCTATTGATTTTTCTTTTCATTATAGATCATAATTTCTTGGTTCCTTGCATCCCTGGTTATTTTTTGTTGCGTGCCAGACATTGTGAAGTCGCTGGATATTTTCATATTTCTATGAATATACTTGAGCTTTGTTCAGGAATTGGTTAAGTTACTTACAGTTTGATCCTTTTGTGGTTTGCTTTTAACTTTTGTTAAACAGACAAGCACAGCCTTTACTGGGGGGCTTATATTTTCCTACTATTAAGGCAATACCCATGAATTACCAGGATTTCTACTGTGGCTAATGGTACCTCTTGCTAGCCATATGTGGGCTTTAGGAACTATTCCCTCTATTCTTTTCAAATGGTTCTTTCCCTAGCCTCAGATAATTTCCACACACAACACACACACACACACACACACACACACGTACGTACGTACGTACGTATCAGCACTCAGCTGAAAACTTGGTGGGGATTCTTGTAGCTCTCTGGAGGTTTTTCTTTCTCTGTGTAACTTTATTCCCTTCAGTACTCTGCCCTGGAACTCTAGTCACTTTGACCTCCCCCTCCTGACAGCTTTGTCTCCTCTTCTCAGAGACAACATTTAGCTGTATGCTGGGGCAGTTTGGAGGGCTCACCTGTCCTTCGCTGCTGATTTTGTCCAACTTTTTAGTCATTTTGGGTGGAGAGTAAATCTAGTTCCTGTTACTCCATCTTACCTGGATGTAGATTTTCTTTTAGTTTTAAAATTTTCTTTTAGTTTTAAAAAAAATCTAAGGAAAATAATCAGATCAGTCTTATTATAAACTATAATATTTATTTACCTTTGTAATTTTTAGATACTGTATTAATGTAAGTACTTTATATGTCACATATAAATAAAATATTAAATTCTGTATATTGAGGTTATTTTCAACATTTGTTTTCTGCCCATCCATGATTTATGTATGAAATTGCTTGACTTACAGATTAGAAGAACAGTGCTGTCCTAGGTAATTAGAAAAATAATATTTCCAAATATAGTGATGAATAACCTATATTTATTAATATTACTTAAGTTTGGCAGAAAACCCAATTTTTAACTGTTTTATACTTAAAAATTAAGAGTGCTGATGATTTCTATAGGTGATACTTTTGGTTTATGGGCATCCTTGTTTTGGTTTGTGGGTATTCTAATCCTTTCATAAATTTTTGTATACTTATAGGTCAGTACTGCATTTTTTTTGTTTTTTTAATACCTCATAAAATAGAAAATTGGATTTCTTAAGGTTTCTCATAATTGGTGTTTATATGAGACAAATATGGTATTACAAGGAGAGTAATACTGTATTTGGGGGCACAGTGGAAATGTAGAAGGGCACTGGACTTTAGTAACGGAATGAAAAGGTAGAAATTGAGTCTTAGCCAGCTTCTTACAAGTTGTACTACTCTTTGAGCCTGACATTGTAACTTTGTCACATAACCTCCTTGATCCTTACTTCTTTTAAATGACATTAATACTCTTCTCAAAGGCAGTTGTGAGAATTAGGTGCATTTTGTGAAAGTGCATAGTAAACTGCAAATCCTTTATAAAAATCAGATAACATTTTGAGGTTTAGCCTGAGAAATATAAGTTTTAAACAGTATTATACAGCGGGAACATCTGACTGAATCTGAACCCAATATTAAAAACCAGAATTATTATCTTGGCTTCTATTTTCTTTGGTTAGTTTCAAAAATTTTTGAATTTATTTTTTCATGCCCAGCTTAGTAGAAGTGAGTCATATTATCATTTCTCTCTTTACTCGGCAGTATACCAATAGCACTTCACCCACATATGTGACCTGTGGGTTGTGGAGAGAAATAAGGATGTTACTCAACAGCTCGCATCTTTCAACAAAAAATACTTTTCAACAACACTCATGAGTTTCTCTTAGTCATTAGACAATGCAGACCCTTAAACATTAAGCTAGACTCATAAACTCAGTAATATTTAGTGAGAAAATTGGAGAAACAAATTGTTAAAGTTAAATTCTGTGTTCTCTGTAAATACCAACAACTGTGAGCCATGGAGTACAATAGATGACCTTGGTTTTTATGGTCTAAAACATTTTCTACAGAATGGTGCAGAAGCTGTTACTGGAATTGGAATAAAAGGCTACAGAATTGTGTGACGCTTGCTGTATATTTATGAATCAGATTTTTTTAAGTGGAAGCCACAGTTGTTTCCTTGTTTGTCATTCATGCTTTAGCAGAGGATATGATGCCATAGAGCTGGCTTGGTTTGTAGCTTCTCATTTAGGGTTTGCACCGCTTTCTTTTCCTTTTTAGAGGCCACAGCAGTTTTGATGTCTTATCAAACCACAAAATGTACCTTGTTGGGTATTTAGCAGAGGAAATGTGTTGACTGTTACACATCCCTTATCTACAATGCTTGAGACTAGAAATGTTTTGAAGTTCTTATTCTTTTTCTTTTTTGCTGGTCTAGATTTTGAAATATTTGATTTTGCATTATGTATATTTGCCCATTAAGCGTCCCAAATCCCAAAACCCCAAATTTGAAATGCTCCAATGAGCATTTTCTTTGAGCATCATGTTAGTACTCAGAAAGTTTTGAATTTTGGAGGAGTTTGGATTTTTGAATTTGGAATGCTCAGCATGTATTTGATAGTTTCAGTAATGATTGTGACATTCCTGTTTAGTTCAATTTTGAAAATATAGCATAAATTTTAAAATGCATACCTACATATGTATGGGGTAGCTAATGTATAGCCATGCAACTGCAGACACGTGGAAAACAATCCTTAACCCTTTGAATTTATTAGTTTGTGTTTAAAGATAATGTTTTATCTTGTTTAACTAGAATCTAATATGTTAAATCTCTTTTATTCTACTTTAGCATCAAGGCATGCCATGGGTTGCCTCTCATAAATGGCCAAAGCTGTGACCCTTATGCAACAGTTTCTCTAGTGGGCCCTTCTAGGTAATGTTTATTGAATTATTATTAGGTTTTCAAGTTTTAAAGTTTGATTTAAAATTTTTAAAAGTAAGGTTCTATGAGCAATTGATAGCTTTTTATAACACAAAGAAATAAATGCTTTGAAAGAAAATTTTTAGTAAGTTCTGTTATACACTTATCAATAACAAAGGCTTCTTTTTACAGACAAAAATTGGCACTGTTTCAAATCTGCCATACTCTTAGGTTATAGGGAACAACCTTAGTTTTATACTATTACAGTGTAGTATTTTAAAACATAAACTTGACTTCATGCGTCAGCATTCCCACTTTTAAGTATCCTGAATTTTATGATGTAAAATCCCATTTTAATGAATGCCGGTTCAGATTAACAAGACAGTTTCTATATTTTTATCTGGAAGGCAGCTCCAGCTTGCCTTTTCTACTCATGAGATCTGTCCTTTACAGAGAGAATTCCAACTGTAGAAAAACTGCTGAAGTGCTAGAGCATGACAAAGTATACCATATCATTGATTTAAATGATTTATGATAATTTGTGAAAAAACCTATAGCATTTTGTAATATTGTGTGTTATATGACTTCATTATGGTTTCTTTAAGGAACAGACAAACCTGAAATATGTCTACAATTTGAAGGTTTAGAATCAGGAAACAAGAGGCACAGTATTCTCCCTATACACACATACATGCATACATACACACCCTTTTCCCCGTCTCCAGAATCTCTAGTTATTCTTAATTTGTACTAAATCACTACTAAATCACTTCAAAAAATGTATTTATGTATGTATGTATGTATGTATGTATGTAAAGTACCTAGTACCATGCCTGGTATTTATCAGGTGTTCAAACAATGGTATCCTGTTTAGCAGATATTCAATCTTATGACATTAAATGCTACTAAAGAGATTTATTTTTGCATGTTAAACATGTTCAATCTAGTAGAGCTATTTTTTGTTTTTTTAATAATCTGTACCTGACAAATTCTTTAGTTTGTTTGGTAACGTACAGTTAGAAACAGTTTGGCATATGAATTTATGTTTTAAAAAGTTATTGTTGGTTTTGCTATCCTACTGTAGTTGTGTAACATGCTAACACTGAGGGTGGCTGGGTAAAGACACAAGATTTCCCTGTACATTTTTTGTGACCTCTGAATCTATAATTAAATTAAAATTAAAAGGCTTTTTAAAAAGTCTATATGTTACCTGAAGCCCAAGAAGTAAGCTAAGAATGTTTTTCAAGTTCCTCGGGTATTTTTCAACATAGATGAAGGTACTCTAAATCTTATTGTTTTCCTTCTATTTATTCTGAGTTGCTTACAGAATAGAATATGTTTTTAAAACTCCTCCAAAAGATTGGCAATCTAGTATGTGTAAGATGCATAAAGCTTATATATCCTTTGATTTGAGTTTGTAAAGACACTTAATTTTTTCCAAGTAATATTTAAAACTGAATCTTCCTGAGTCACTTTAACTTTTAAATGGAGGTCAGACTCCCTGGTTGGAAATAGCATGTTTTATAATTGTGTACTGTTAAGTTCTACAAGGTAAAACTCTACCACATTGGAACAGGAATGACCAAAAGAAGACAAAAGTAAAGAAGAAAACAAGCAATCCACAGTTTAATGAAATCTTTTATTTTGAGGTAATTTTTTGTTTTATGTAAATATTAACATTAAATATGTAATATTTAATGCTAGTTGATTTCTTTTTCAAACTCTCGTCATAGTAATCATTTTCTCAATTAACACAGATAAGCATTTCTCTCCTGAAAGCAGTAGAACCATGGTGTGATGCAGCGGAGTCCCAATATATAAAATGAATAAAGGCAAAGCTCTAATTTCGGACAGGAAGGGTCAGGGCCATACCCACTCCCCAGTCATCCTCACTATCATGTTCTCCTTTGCACTCTCCCTTACCCTATCCAGTCCCCTCCCTGACACATAGTGGCCACAGGACTCTTCTGCAGGGTACCCTTTGAAAATCACTGGTGATGTAAGTGTAATTATTACTCAATAAACCTCAGTTCCAGTCCAGTTGACACTGAAAGAGTCACTAAAAGTGACTGAAGTTTCTTATCTTTAAAAGAATAATTGGAAGGGAAAACAGCAGCACTACCTAACTCATAGCGTTTTTGTAAGACCCAAAGCACGTGAGAATCCTTTGAGACTATAAAATACTAGATGAGTAGAGCCTTATTATTACTTTTTTTTTTTTAACCTAATTCATTCTATGGACACCTGCTTATCTTCATAGAGAGCTTTAGCTGCTTTGAAATTGTCCTGTGTACAGTGCTTTAGAGTGCTTTCCTTTGGAGAATTTGTTAAATCCTTATTCATATTAATTGCAAACTATAGGAAAAAAATGAAAGTCTCTAAAAGATCATATTCTAATAAAGCGTGTTGCAGTTTATATCAATGTGTAGGAAAGGTTTGAAAAAAGGAGTTACGTTTTGTGCTTTTTCTTCTGTGTGTGTATTTTCCTTGGTGTTTCAAAGTGAAGAGAGTGAGGGTACCTCTAGTCATGCCTGATTACTGTACTTTATTAAAGGAACACAGACTGAAGAAAATGCCAACAGTGAAGTAGGAAGAATTGTGGAGGTGGAAGCAAGGGAAAAAAATAAAAAAAAAATAGCAATATGAGACTTTTCCATTTCCTGACTAAGGACTTGGTGCAGTTGTTCTACATTTATTAATAGTGGTTGCATGTAACCTGGAGATAAGAAGGCAGCAACGTAAAGGGCTGCTGACTAAAGGCACTCACACTCCACATTAGGCCATATATTTTAAACCTCAGCTGGATGGAATCTACTGTGTTTCGTGGATCCTTACAGTCAGCTGATGGCCCTTTGAAAGTAAAAGGCCTGACCTGCCTCCTGTAGCAGGAGTACTTGTTAGGCCTTGCAGCATTGGTTATAAAAAATAGATAAGTTTCTATTTTGTTTTGTTGGTTATAAAAATAGATAAGTTTCCATCTCCTTTATCTAAAGCAAGGAACATAAAGCAGACACATGTATGCATATACACAACAGTAAAATGGAGTAGATATTGGGGAGGTCAGATGTACTCTGCTCCATTAAAGGCTTGAAGAAAGATTGGATTTTCTAAGTTTGAGGAAAGACTGTTAGAGATGGTGAACATTTTGAGCAGAGGCACAGAGACAGAAAAGCAGAAAATTATGTCCAGAGTACAGTGAGTACTGATTTTATTGGGCTTGTGTAAGGAAATAATGGAAACTAAGATTAGAAAGGTAGAGCAGGACCAGCTGATAAAAGGCCTTGAGTGCCTAGCTGTGGTGCCAAAGTGAATGATTTTGAGCCTAGAAGTTATGAGAAAGAACAAAGATGGGGAGACTGTTGTACTTTAGGTGTAAGAAAAAAGAGAAGGAGGATAGGGTGTTTTTCAAAAGAGCGCTATGGAAGTAGAGAGGAAGGGGCAGATGAAAAAGATAGTGCAAAGGGCAAGATAACAAATTGATTATAGAAAAAAGAGGAAGGAGTTGAATGCTGCCCCCAAGGTCCTAAATCTGGAAAAATAGAAAAGTTAAGAGGGAAGAAAAATAAAAGTGGTTTAGTTTGGGACATAATTAGCTTGAGGGCTGACGTTTTAAATCCTCCAGTAGGGAGTTCATGACTGAAACTTCAGATGAGTGATAGTTACTGACCAACACTCACGGTTTGTTTATAAATGCGTCAAGAAAGCTGAGAGAAGAGAGATACACAATAAAGGAGAAAAGTGAAGAAACTAATTTCTGCTACTTAAGTATTCAACTTTGAGCATGTCATTTAATTTCTGTACTTCAGCTTCCTCATTTTGAAGATGAGGATAATAAGTCTAGCCCTGCCTGCCTCTGTGCAGCGTTCTGATGAACAAAGGAGATAATGGATGTGAAAGCACTTTGTAGACTGTACAGCACTATGCAGCTCCAAGTTGTTTTTAGAGCAAAATAAAACATAAAATTTGAAGAATAGTGTATTTGTAGATTCTGAGAAAGAAACAAAGAGAGCAGCAGAAGGTTGCCAAGGTAGTGCTCAGGTAAACTCTAAAGTGTGTTTCTTGGAAAAGAGGTACAGTTGTATGATCACTAAATTAAATGGAAGATCAAGGGAGGTAAGAACTAAGAATTTATCATCAGATTGGATAATGGAGAGAGCGATTTTAGGAGAGTGATCTGTGAGGAAGCCAAGATTATAAGGAGTTACTATAGTGGTGGGTGGTGAGGAAGTACAAGCTGTAAGGGTGGATTACGGTTTTCAGATGTTTGTCTGAGAAAGGAAAGAGATAGGAAGACCATAATTTAAGGGGAGAATTTTTCTTAGACTTGAGTGAGATGAACAAGCTGGTATAGAAAGCTGTAATTAAAATAGATCAAATAATGCTTACTGAATGCTTATTGCATACTCTGTGTGGGTGTCTAGTCTTAGAGGAAAATCATCTCATTCTCTTGTTGAGAAGAGGATGAGAAAAACTCATCAAGCAGAGAACCCTGTGTGGGAGTAGACAAGTTCAGGTGAACGGTCATTGGGGAAGTTCCTGCCGATGGCCTTGATACTTTCAGCAAAAATGTGAGAAGGAAGTGCAAGGTAGGATTGGTGGCTTGAGAAATGTGGGAGAGTCTTTAAAAACTCCTGAGTCACCAACGGACTACCTATGAGCCAGAGAATCTAATGTTACATTGATATATTGGTTTTATTTTATTCTATTGATAAAATAGAGAGTCTCACTTTGTTGCTCAGGCTGGTCTTGAACTCCTGGCTTCAAGCAGTCCTCCCCTGCCTCGGCCTCCCAAAGTGCTGGGATTACAGGCATAAGCCACTGTACCTGGCCATTGCCATATATTGAGTTGATAGGAATGGCATGGAGACAAAGATTCCTGATTTTTCTTAGGCCACCTTATTCTTACTTTTCTGCTACTTCCATAGTTGCTTTTATATTCAGCTACTGAGTCAAATATTACTTGGGCATTTTCCTCTGCTTTTATTCACAATTGAATATTTTGGAGATTATCATTTTTAAGTTGTAGGAGAAATGTATTAAAAAAAAATTTTTTTTTACTAAAATATTTTGTTTACAGGTAACCAGGTCCAGTAGTTACACCAGAAAGTCCCAGTTCCAGGTAGAAGAGGAGGACATTGAAAAGCTAGAAATCAGGTATGTGCCTTGGGGTTTTACAGAATTGCTTTTTTGTGTACCAAAAGAAAATCCTAAATTCAACTGAAAAAGGTAAACTGGCTTTAATAGAATTCTCTATAACAAGTTGGTTGATGAAACTTACAGGAATACAGTATGCATCTAATTTAAATCCAGATTATCTTTCCAAAATCCGATTTGTTTGCAGAAATATTCAAGTTGTATTTATTTTATAAACAAAGATGATCTAATTTTCATCTGTTTTATTGTATTTTTAATTTTTCCCAAATTTAGTTGTTCCTTAAATTTCTGGATTGTAGTGTAATGGATGGAAAGGAAGTTATATCTCAGCCAATTTAGAAATAATTTTTTATTCTTCTTAACATATCTGCTGTCTAACAGAAATTTCAGTGAGGTAAGAAGGTTATTCAACAGGTGCATGTGTTTGAAGTTTGTGCTATTTCCTAGGTCTTAAATATCTATATTCTTTGGGAAGGAAAAATCTTATAAATGCATGTGTAGGTGTGATGTTAACCGTGTGTTCATCTAGATGATATATTAATCATGTGTTTGGAGTGATCAGGTAATGTATTTTTCTGATTTTTCTCTCTATATATATAAATTGGTTATAATCTAGAGAGAAACCGTAGTCTTGGGTTGGTTTCTTTTCTCAGATTCAGTGAAGTAGCTCTGTAGTCCTTATTGCTATAGGTTAAAATAAAGCCTCAACTTTTAAACTAAGACACTTTTAAGTCCTTTTAGACTATCTAAAATTACTTTTTGTGCTTTTTAAAATAAAAGCTACTGTAGTATTTTGCTTCTCTAGTCTGGATAGTAAGGTATGTCTATAGTGTTGCTAACATCTTTTACTTTTAAGCATGTAAAATTAATGCTGTAATACAAATCAAAGTAATTTAAAGCTGTTTTGTGGTGTGCACTCTCTTAAACATTGTTTGCAAAACATAAAGTCACTTTTCAATTTTTAGGATTGACTTATGGAACAATGGAAACCTGGTCCAAGATGTTTTCCTAGGTGAGATCAAGGTTCCTGTGAATGTATTAAGAACTGATTCCTCTCATCAAGCCTGGTAAGAGTTGAGCATTTTAGTGAACTCCATAGTTTAATTCTCTTTAATATATTGTATACGCAAATAAATGCTTACTCTGAACATGTTTTAAATTTGCTATGGAATAGCCAAATGTCATTAATATTGATATGTTCATTAATTCATTGTTGAAGAAATATAAGTATATTGTAAGCTTTATGACTTCACCTGTGGTACTGAGATAAAAGAACTGAATCATCTAGGAATATTTTTCTGCTTACAAAGTGAAGACTTAACTCTTAAGGAGAAAATGGGAAACATTTAAAACATTACATAAGAGTTGTTCATGTAAGAAAATGCTTTGTCACAAATCAGTATCTGCATTTCAGAAGTTTTATTAGTGGTCATCGTAACTGTGGATATTTGAAAGCAAAGGATGTTATTTAGGGAACTGAGTTATTTATGGGAACTAACCACTGTTTTTCCTTCACCGCACCCCATTGAAATGCACTGTAGATGGCCCTGATGTTACTTTTTGAATGTCTAAGGTCTAATTTTGTTGAGCTGGCACTTTTTACGGCTCTTGGTGTTCAATAATAACTACGATATTATTTTACTCTTTAATGACTAACAAAACTTTAAACTGATGTTAAATTAATGTTCAGACATTAAATTGAGCTAGTTTCCTTAGCAGAATCACTATGAAACTATTGTTTTTTTCTGTCTATAGTGCTTAAAAGCGTGTGTATCCTTTCAGTAGGTTGTCCAGTATCTCTCTCGGTAGATTTGGGTTTCAACTGGATATAAATGAACATGCCTTTCTCATTTGCCTTTTAAGGAGCACTTTCTGGAACTCAGTTTCTGCTGCCTGAAGAGGAGTGTTTAGGTGTTTCTTACGGGTATCAGTTTCATTCGTCCCTAAAAGAGCCTGCCTCTTCTGATTGGCCATCAGACATCTTCATTTTGGAGTCTTGTCCTGGAGCAGTTATCACTTGTAGACTGATTTGGAGACTCAATATTTATTTTATTTTTGCCTCTTCCTAAGGCAGACCTAAGATTTATGGTCTTTATGTTGGTATTTTGTGTATTATAGTTTGTAAAATGCATCCACAGAGGGGGGAAAAAATCAAACATAGTCACTATGAACCATTGGCGAAAATTCGGGACCTGTCATCCTCCCCCTACACCATGTCTTCCTCCTTCTGTACAGTAGCCTACATTTTAAAATCAAAATTTCTGAGCTCAGTTTGTCAAGTTTTTAAAATTATATTCCAGACCACTCAGTACAGAAAAGAAAAATGAGCTGTTGTCCCTCCAGGCCCCTCAAAATGATCTTGAAATGTGCCACATAATCTGTTTTTTAAGTAAGACTGTCTCCAGAGATGCTTTCCAAATTTGGCAAAACTTCGTGCAGCTTCCTTGGCAGTATGTAAGAACATTAACAAACTAATTGTATTTCTGTAGCTATTTTTGGCCCATGATATTTTAAAGTAACCTTCCAGAAGTATAAATGCTAAAATTTATATAGCATGAACTAGAAACATCTGGTAATTCATATATACTTCCATAGTTGTAAGGAAACATAAAAATGTGAATGCCATTTCTTTTAAACTGGAAATAAAACGCTTAACCTCTTCCATCAATTGTAGAACCATAGCATCCCCTTGTGGGATTGTTAATAACTGCATGAAAACTCAAGATATATTCACCCTCAGGATTTCAGGCAAATTCTTTCTAATCTTGATGTTAAAGAAAGAGTTAGAGTAATCATCAGTAGTTTAATTCTGTTGTTTGAAAAGTCTCAAAATAGATATAAATGTCTTTTCAGTTGTAATTTTTACATTTGAAGGTAAGATTCAAATAATAGATAAAGTTACTGGGTTTTTACATTTGAAGGTAGGATTCAAATAATAGATAAAGTTACTGGGTTTTCTTTTTTATACATGATTTTAGACTAGATTAATATTTGATATGATTTGACTTTCTAGTTTGTTAATTTTGACACCTTTTGTTATAAAACTTTTTTTTTGGTCTAATGTTTTTAACGTATCTTCTTAATTTTTGAATTTAGAAAGTGTAACAAGTCTCCTGTCTTCAGAAAAAAATCCATTGATAATGGTTTTCTTGATGGAACCAGAAAAATGATCAAATATTAATATAACTGCCTCTTTATTCTCTTACTTATGTAGCATTATGTACAAATAATTGTGCTTCGGGTTTGTCTACCTCAGTTTTAATTACACTGATCTTATGGTTAGCATTTTTTAAATGCTGATTTTTTTCTGTTAGGGGACTGTCCAAAGAGCTTACTCTTGAGAGCATGAAGATTGCTTTTATGCCTAATTGTGAATGAAAAATTCATGTGTAGAGCAACCGAGTGCTACTTTCCGTTAATAATTTCCCTTTATCTCCTGTTTCTTATTCTTTAAAACTATTTCATTCCAAAAGTGACAAACATATATATATATTTGAGTTTTTTGTCTTGTTTTCGCTTAGAAATTCCAGATGTTTCTGAACTATTTAACAAATCTTGAGCCTTTTCTCTTTAGCTCCAATTCATACAGGATTATTTAATTCACAAGGATCCTTCAGGTAGTTTATTAAATTGAGCCTTTCTAATAATACTTTAATCACATTTATATAGTTAGGCAAGTAACTATAGATAGTTATTATGCATATATTTAAGTGGTAATAGTTATATACCATATATATAAATGTTACATGTGTAACATTTACATGGTGTTTACCGTGTGCCAGGCACTATTCTAAGTGCTTTACTTATAAAACCTCTTTAGGGTTGTTGTAGGGTTTTAATGTGCTAAGATACTATTAATACTCCTTATTTGACAAATGAGGGAACAGGCACAGAGAAATTGAGCAACTCGTCCAAGATCAGACAGCTGGAATTTGAACCAAACTGTCTGACCGCAAAGTTTGTTTTCTTAACCAATGTACTATAAGTTTGAACTTCGGCATATTTTTTATATATTTAAAACTCAAAAACATTCTCTGTTTTAAGCCATTAGCAAAGGTTTGAATGCCCCTTGCTTATACAATATTATTTAAAAGAGAATTGGAAAGGTCCCTACTCATTTAAAAAATGATCTTTTCAAGGATGGGCAAAACAACATGTTGTGAAATTTTGTATTTTTTTTTTTCGAGTAGACATAGATGAGATACTTTGTTTATGGGGATTTCTTATCCTGCAAAGAAAATCCAAGGAAACAAGTTTAGAAAGTATGGCAGGAGTGAACCCTTCTGGAGTTTTTAAGCATCCAAAAACAATGTATACATAAAAATGAGGAATTGGCATAGCATTGCCCTAATTTCTCTACATAGAACAATACTATGTTAAGACTGTAGGCCCAATATTTTTTAGTTTTATGAGAGAGTAAAGAGGGATGGTATATCCCTTCCCTAGTTATTTGGAGCTAAAGGAAATAAAAGTTATGCTCTAAGCAAAATTTCTATAGAACAAACCAAAACAGAGTTTGTTTTGACTGTAAAGTGTGGAGACCTGTTTAAGATGGATCGAGATGGTCCCAGAGAGGCAGAACCAGTTGTAACTGAATAAGTAACACAAGTAATGTTACTCTACTGTGCATGGAAAATACCAGTTCAATAGAAGGAAAAGATTCATCTAGAGTAATAAAAAAGGATTCCAAAGAGGTAAGCATGGTACTGCCTCTTAAAGCACAACTGAGGGGGAAGGGGATTCTGGTCCAGAAGAATGACTATTTCCGTGGCAAGACTATTGTCTCAGCTGAGAGATTCTTAAGGCTGCATAAAACCCCTTGTCATACCTCTGTACTCACCACAACACCTTTTGATAATTTACCTTTCCAAATAATCTGCCACCAGGTAAAAAACTACAGCAAAAGATATAGATGAAAACATTATGGTAAATGGTGATAATTGTTGTAACCAAATGATGAGCACATGGGAGTGGCAGTAAGAAAGGGTGTTCATTATTATTATTATCACTCTTCTCCCTACTTTTGTAAGTGAGCATTTCCATAATAAAATGCACTGGTCACTTAAAACTGCAGATACTTATACCACTTGACTATATTTCTTTTCATAAATGTAATAATTAGCTTGCTTTTAAGTATATCAGACTCTGCACTCAGTCATTGCATTCAGGTGCACCTTATTTTTTTGGGTCGCCCAAGCTGGAGTGCAGTGGCATTGTCTTGGCTCAGTGCAACCTCCGCCTCCTGGGTTCAGACAGTTCTCCTGCCTCAGCCTCCCTTGTACTGGGATTACAGGCACCCGTCATTGTGACTGGCTAATTGTTGTATTTTTGTAGAGACAGGGTTTCACCCTGTTGGCCAGGCCGGTCTCGAACTCCTGACCTCAGATGATCCGCCAGCCTTGACCTCCCAAAGTGCTGGGATTACGTGTGTGAGCCACTGCACTTGACCTTGAGGTTCACTTTAGATGTGCTGATAAAATGAAGTCTCTGAATTTGCAAGGTTGCAGAACATTCCCTGGATTATGAAAAATTGACCCAAGTATCAATCGTCAGGATGCTTAGTCATCAACAAGCTAAACTTCCTGATATGGTTTGGCTGTGTTCCCACACAAATCTCACCTTGAATTGTAATCATCCCCAAGTGTCAAGGGCGGGGCCAGGTGAAGACAATTGAATCATGGGGTGGTTTCAAATCCTGATACTTTCCTTGTGATAGTGAATAAGTCTCACAAGATCTGATGGTTTTATAAATGGGTGTTCCCTTGCACAAGCTGTCTTGCCTGCAGCATGTAAGACGTCCCTTTGCTCTTCTTTGTCTTCTGCCATGATTGTGAGGCCTCCCCAGCCATGTGGAACTATGAGTCAATTAAACCTCTTTCCTTTCTAAATTATCCAGCCTCGGGGATGTCTTTATTAGCAGAATGAGAACAGAGTGATACACTTCCCTTAGAGGTACTTAAAGCACCTCTAAGAGACTTTTTTCTAGTTATTTAATTGGCCTTATCTTTACATCACTATTTCTTAAATCAGACAGTGGATGTTCTGAAGGTTGATCTTCTAAGACAGG